GTTCAACAAAGTCCCTTTGGACATGTTGAAATGGGCGCAGGGGCGGAGGATGAGCAGCCTGTTGGATACTTTTGGGACTTACCTGGGTTGTGCGCGGGGCATATAGCGCATGTTTGGCTGAATCTCTGTGCAAATGCCGTAAACCCCTTTGTATACCAATTTTGTGTGATTAAATCACACATCATCCCTCCTTTTGAGGCATGGTCTCGACCATGTGCTAAAATTGCAAACTGTCTGAAGAAATGCCGTGGTAGGCACGGTTTGCTGTCTGGTCCCAGCCACACACACCATGCCGTCGTTGAGCCCCATTCCCCTCTCACAGCAGCGTCTCTGCTGGAGTAGAAAATATCAACGTCTTGAGTGAGGTAGTGTGTGTGTGTGTGTGTAGAGGTGCGTATGCCGCTGCCTTGTCCGCGCGCCGATTCCCTGCAGAGATGGGATCAGTGGCATTAGTGTGGGCCTGGCATTTGCATACAGCGATCTCTAAGGGCAACATTACAGCTTTCAGCAGACGTTCAACCTGTGTGGAATTAAGAATTGGTTTACCATCAGATTTCATAAAATTGCGGTGTTTCCACAGTGCTTCCCAGTCGTGCACCACAGAGAAACCATAGCGCGTATCACATAATATGTTAACAGTTTTGCCCGCTGCCAGCTCACACGCCCCGGTGGGCGCGACCAGCTCAGCGGTTTGTGCTAAGTGGTAGTGGGGCAAACTACCAGAGTCTATAGTATCAAAATCAGAACACACAGCATAGCCGACTCGGTTCTTCCCAGTGTTGTCACGTGACGCCGCTCCGTCTGTATAAAAAAAATCAAGTCAGGATTAGTCAGAGGCACCTCTTTCAGGTCTGGCCTGGGAGTGCATCTCTGCTCTATTGTGGCGATACAGCAGTGTGCCTCCCCTTCCTCTGGCGTGGGCAGCAGCGAGGAGGGGTTCAGCTGTGTGCATCCCTTCACCGTAGTTCAAAGAGCACCGTGTTGTACCCCAGCCAACGAGCCGCAGAAAGGCGAGAGGCCCTCTGCTCTAACAGGATCAGGGAAACAGCATGGGGCACAAGCAAAGTTAGTTCAGTGTATCCCACAAGGTCACGTGATGCTAGGGCCGCTTTCTCAGCGGCAGCCACAGCCCGCAGGCAGCGAGGCAACCCTGCTGCCACGGGATCGAGTTTTGCTGAGAAGTAAGCAGTGGGTCTCAGTGGCCCTCAGTGAGGCTGCAAAAGTACCGACTGTTCCGTTCATCTCCAGTTGCTTTTCTCCCGGATCGTCCTCAATTCATATTGTGGGCTTTTGTGCCAAAGTGGAGGCTCATTTCCTCCTGATCCATACTACTGTCATCCCTGGAGCAGGGGTAGTTTATCTCTCATCTGAAAAAGAAATATCAGAACACAAAAAAAAACACAAAAAATGCCCACTTTCGCTTGTCAATCTTTTTCCCAATTGGGCAAAACATAACTGCATTGACAGACGGTGTGTGGCATCAGGGCGGAGGCTGTAGCCAAATACAGAACAACAAAATGTATGTTTCTAATTTTATACTCCCCTAAATGTGAGTTTACAGACCAAAGTTGTCCTCCGCCCAATGACCGCTCACTGCGGTTGGACCGAATCACTGTCAGGGCAAACAGCAGAGGGAGGAACTCCCAATATCTTCAGCGAGGTATTTCATCTCCGAGTACTTTCCGCAGAGTACTTTTCTCAGAGTACTCATCCCAGAGTACTCTCACTTTTACACCTGTTCAATAAAGGTCGTTATCTTTGAATCTCTAGTACTTACACCGTATGCTGTTGACAAAAAAGAATTATTCCATGATCACATTAAAACATTACAGACACATTTGTTATTCCATGATTCCGTTCAGCATTCCTCATTTCACTCCTTATTTCACACATCACACTCATATCACAGTCACATCACAGTCACATCACAGGCCGATTCCCCCACGTTAGTATTTTGGTCCAGTTTGTTAAGGTCGACGTAGTGTACTTTGACATGACACACAAACATATAACATACACAAAACATATAACACACAAACATGTAACACACACAGAAGGCCTGTACTTTTAACTTTTAACGTTTACCACGTGGTCTGTATTTCGGGCTTATCACAGATTGTGTCCCCTATATCTCTAATGAGCTCTTGTCACCTAAAAAATGTTTATTTTCCTTATTTTTTTTTTTCTTTTTCAATAAAGCCAGGTCGGATTCATTAAAAATGTAAATTAGTCTCAAACTTTAATACTTCACCTTTGTTTCACGATAAAAATGTTTTTGTTGCTCATTAAGTAGCACAGATAGTGGTGCCTATCTCAATAAACGTACTCCGTTAGCCTATCTTCCCTACACTGCATGAATTTTCAAACTCCAAGTTATTGTCTGGGAACGACCGGAGAGAGCAGCTTAGGTCGTTCGCGTGGTTGACCTCCAAATTTTGTGCGGGCGTCACTATCCACTTGTTGTGGCTAATAACTTAGCAATCTCAGGGTTTGGTGTCAATTTCCAGTGGTAGTTAACTTTTGGGACCGGTGCCTCCTTTTATTTATCTATTTTTAATTGAGTCTGCACATAAGGTCTCGGCCTAGTAGATTAACCGGGGACAATGGGGAATATAGAAAAGAATGTTTAAGCTGGTTGCCCTGAGAATCAAAACACGTTAGCGGTGACGTAAATTGCTCTTTAGTCGTCTCTCCGACGCTGCTAATTAGAATATGAAGCGGCCGCTCATTTTAGGGGAGACAGAAAGGCTGTCACTTTTAGCACAGAATTTGTTGCCCCGGAGTCATCCAGAATTTTAACTTGTACACCACAGGTTGTTAGCGTATATTACGGGCATGAATTATCTCTAAAAAGTGCCAATTGCAATTTGTTGTTGTTCAACTTACATGAGCGGTCGCTTTGGTGACGAATGTGAACCCAGGTTTGGTCAGTCGCTCGTGTTTCCTCCGTGCCCGCCTCTGCCGTCCTCTGGCCCCGTGTTAGCTTGAGCGTTCCTCTGCCTTTAACGCCTCCTCCGGTAACAGTCCTTCGACCCATGTCGAGCACACAGTCTTTCCGCCGGGCTGTGGAAGTTTTTCAAAGTCCGCAGGAGGCCCAGGTAGCCCAAAGCGTTAGCATGTGGTCCATGAGGGTTGGTGAATAACCCAAACGTGCCGGTCACAATGGCTTCTTCTGTTTGCGGTGCGGGAACAACTTTCAAGCGGGTTTCCGCGGGTGCGTTTGGTATATCACGCTGCCCCCTCCGTGGAGAACAGTCACGGGATTTGGAGCAGTTTCTCTCTGTGCTCCAAAGCAGTTGTCGGTGTCTCACATATTTGTTTCCCTCGCTTCTTCTTCTGTGGTTTCCTGAGCGTGTGTCTGTTTCCGCCTCTTCTTCTTCTGCGGTTTGGGCCCACTTCTCGCGGGGTCTCAGCTGGTGCGGGCGCCGCCTGTGGTTGGGGCGTGGGGCTGGTGCTTTGAGGCAGAGGACAGAGCGCGGAGGAAAGGCGCCGACAGACCTGGATAAGGGAGAGGGAAAAGAGACAACAGTAGTCTGCTTCATTTTTTAAAAACCCAACGCCTCGTTTGGGCGCGTACTTAGCATGGAGTTCTGCTCCTAGTGTGAAAGGGTTAGTAGGTGAGAGAGGGCGTGTGTGTGCGCCTGTGTGTTCTCCGCTTAGGTGAAAAGCGGAGGAGCTATTGTTTTTACATATTTCTTTCTCTAACCTCTTTTGCCGTGATATTCTTAAAACCAAGTATATTTTTTTTTTTCTTCCCTTCTTCTTCTAAATTATCACGCAGATGACCTGCACCATAGGCAAGCACTTCATAGCTTGCATCTTCTAGATTGTTTTTTACCCATTTTCTCGTACGAACAATGGGCCTAACCCGCTTAGTCTCTCCCTGCTCCTACCCACTTTGGGGCGCTCCGTTCCCCCCCCCGCTGGTTCAACCAGCGAGCGCGCGTTCTTGAAAACGGAGCGGTTCTGGCTGAAGACACTCAGAGATTCCAGGGTCGCTTACAGTGCGATACTAACGCGCAGCCGCTAGTTTCAATCTAGAACAAAAAGCCCCCAAAAAATCCCGCACACAGACTATGCTGTGGCAATGAATGAAATACCCCAAAAATACATAAATAAACAAATCCCCGTGTACACTTAAGTGCTGCCCTGGGCTCGTTACGCAGATGAAAAGACAAGACTCACCAGATTAGGTTCTTTTTGGTCTTGTGTGGCAAAAGGATTCCTTCCGTGCGCGGGACGAGCGCGCCCTCCTTTGTCTCCAAAAAGGAACAGAGGCTGGTGATCCAGGTCGGCCAAACAAAGCCGCTCGTCCCCGCCGAAAGTATCCATGCCAAGACATGTCAGCAACGCCAAATTGTTATAGAATTATATACCCCATGAAGGAGGAAACTCAAAGGTCCTTTGTCTGGTCAAAAGCGTAAGTTTATTGTTCACGCACGTGCGGAGGGCCAGCACATCCACTCAAAAGCAGCATGTCCCAGCTCTGGGGGCCAGAGCCCCGAGCTTCCTGTATACAAGACACACACCAAAGATAGTCACGCCCACAACGGAGCGGAGGGGGCCACCGGTGAGGAGGCGCACAGGAAGCGCCGGCGCTATCCCCTGTGGTGGCAGTGGCATGGGGTGTGAACAGACAGACAATGGTGGAAATGCAGGTCATACAGATGCAAGACGGAAAGACACAAGGGTGTGACAGACAGCAGGGACCTTCACAAAGCTCAGCATGGCGTCAGAAGGTCGTCTGCATTGATAAAAGGCCTTTGACGTCCGTGTATTTGCTGCGGCTGGTTTTAATGTAATTACTCCAAAAACTGTCACCACAGCTCTCATCGACATAGCAGCCCTCCTCCTGTGGACTCACCACCTGCAGGAGGATCAGTGAGGGGCTGGTGGCCTGAGAATTGGGTGCAGCTCTGATTGCTACCCCCATGACCTAGAAATGGATTAAGGGGAAGAAAATGCATGGATGGACATATTATTCTTGTTTCTTTTTGTAGAAGCCATGCACATGGGCTCCCTCATCGCCTCTCAGGGATATCTCTTCCCCATCTCGGATCACATTCTCTCCCTCAAAGACGATGGCACTTTCTACCGCTTTCAGGTGAGTTTACTTGCCAGAGTGAGTTAGAACTAACTGGTTAGCATTGTGGATGCATGGTTCTTCCTTTTACAGTGGAAATACCAAAATGATGCAGTGCCCCGCTCTTGCAACCTACAGATGGTCCTCCTGCGTTCAAATATGTACAATATGTTTATTACCAATGTTAAAATAAAAATGACAAAACTCTGAACAAAATCATACTAATGTATTTTAATACACACATACCCACACCTGCATTATTTAGCCATGCAACAAGTAAGTCTTGGATCTACAGAACAGAATATAAGTGTTGCTGTGGCCCTCCAGGGAAGGGCTTGGCCTCTGTTGGTGTTGGAGCTCTTTGTTTAGACTCAAACACAGATTGCAAGAGGGTGAAGAGGGGATGCAGGGTGGTGGTCTGTGGTCTTGTGGATTCTTTAAAGGTGACATACTACACAAATGATTTTGAAGGGCTCTAACCTCACTTTCAGCGTTTAGGCTGTTAAAAATTATTCGTAAGACACGTTTGTTTCCTGCATTCACTCTGTATACAGCTGTTACTTTATACATTTATTTTATATAATTTTTTCTCAGTGTTTTGAGACAGACTTCTGCTGTGTCAGTTCTTTGTTTTAAAGCAGGTTTAAAGTATTCAAAGTGTTTCACACAGAATCCTGTGACACGTGCAGCTCCTCAGCACTGATTACTGATGAAATCCACCTGCTGGGGTTTAGAAACTGTATATTATACATGACACTTAATCTGTACCTGCTGTATTTTAATACATGTGTGGTGCTAGTTTTGTTTTTTATTTGAAAATAATGTAATAATAATTAACGGCGGCATTTTTAGATCAATGTTGGGATTTGGAAACATTAAATCATTGATGCCATAGAACACAGTGATACCCAAAAGCAGAGGTCTTCTTTCACACCGCACGATCAGCTGCGATAGTCTCCTGTTCTCTGATCTTTGAGGAATTTCAGCCACTTGAGGAAACATTCCGGTCGCAAGTATCTATCACTTGTTCCACCGGTTGTTACGCACAGCTCTGACCACAGACAAAGCTGAAACCACAGAGGTAGTGGTGGATCAGTTACAGCCCTGTAATTAGCTTGAGGTGTCAGCGAAAGATTTATGACTTTGGAAAAACATTGAAAATCCTAATCAATTGTCTCTTTTGAAGTTATGTCCAAACTGGGATACTGAGACCCTGCAGAGTGACTTGACACGGTGCTAAATGGTATAGATTGTTGAAATTGTTGAAGTAGAGTTTGTATGTTTTAAAGCTGCCATACGTCTGCATTGAAAGCCTCTAGGTTCAGCAATTTGAAAATACATTTTTGCTTTAAAAATTGAATTTAAGATTCTCCATAACAAAAACGTAATCACACGAGACAAGTGTGAATGAGAGATGTATTTGTTTTTCTTAACCATAGACTATATCAGGAGTGGACTGACAGAGTGGGATATCACCATAGTGTTTGCCAAATGAACATAAGCTATCTGAAGCCAATTTCCTTATAGGATATTGTGCTGTGAATGAAGGCATCCTATTTGTAAATCCTGATGTGAGCCATATAAGGACAAAACAACACGATATCTCAATACAAACATCGGATCACAGAGGGCGCTTATTACAGGAGTTTATATTTACATGTTAGTCTATAAGAGGCACAATGAGTTTGAGCAAATTTTCACCATGAGCCCTTCCCTATTGAGCGTCATTGAGCAGGTAGGATTAGCATTGTCCATCTGTATACCGTCTGTTATAACCATGTATTTATTTTGTTTGAGTGTGACATTGAACAAATGGTATTGATTGGGGGCTTTGATGCGCCAGTGTGTTTGGTGTCTCGCTTCCATCATCACCGTGTGTGGAGAGAATGGAATATTTGAACTCTGAACATTGTAAAGCGCTTTGTGTGAACTTGGTCTGTAAGATGCGCTATACCCATAAAGATGAACTACTTACTTACATTGCCACTGAATATGTTTGTATACAAAGGTCAGACATAACCTTTTTGTTGCAATAAAAGTCCGCACAATACATATCCACTCATCAACTCTGTCATATTGTTTTCCAGGCTCCGTATTTTTGGCCGTCTCACTGCTGGGAGCCAGAGAACACAGACTATGGTAAAACCTCCTCAATGACAAATTAGTGAATGATAGTCAATGGGCTATGTGTGAGATGGCAAACCACATGGAACATGGAATAAAATCCATGTCCTGGTACTATTACAGTTTGCCATGCATGTAATTTTGGCCACTGTCACATCTCTTTCTTGTCTCGCTTTCGTCTCTCTTTGGTCTGCGTTCTCTCTTTGGTATCTGTCTGGTATTTTTCCGGTTTCTCTGGTAATAATATGAAGATAACAAGAAGGCAGCATGTTGTGGTTTGACCTGCTTTAAATTAATGTGGGACACACAGCATGTTCTATTTACTGCTGCACCATGGATTCTCAGTCATGCCCTCATCTCAATATCATAGTAACCAAAAGGTTACTTGAGACATTTTTCTAAAACATGAAGTTCATCTTTTGAAAGCACAGAATGAGCACTCTTATTTCCCCCCTTTTTTTCTTCTGTAATAAAGTTTTATATTGTATCTAATAACACTGCGCTTAAAGGTCATTATGGAACTTATGGGAAAAATTGTTTATCAGTAGTAATGACCCAGTGGCTTTGAGTGGTCAGCATGGGGCCTTTTGATCAGGGTTTTGTCGACAGAGCTCCAGGATCTATTGTTTTGTAGTTTTTTGGGTCCGTCAGCAGAGAGAACCTCTTGTACAGACTATCCCACAGTTAAATAAGGCCCCTTTTTCAAGAGGATCAAATGTATTGTATGGATGGAAGGCTTCCTTTTAGAACTCTTGTTACTTTTTGATTCTTTTGATGTAGGAGTAAATATTTCCCTGCTCTGTTCCCTCAGCCATCTACTTGTGCAAGCGCACCATGCAGAACAAAACCAGGCTGGAGCTGGCAGACTACGAGGCTGTGAGCTGCTTTTCCATTCCTGTATTACTCGGTCTACAAGATACTGTACATCCCAATCCATGGCAAACTGCATGATTTTAACTCTGAGGAACAGGCAATAATACACAAATGTTGCTCCCCTCATGGTCTCTTAACTGCAGCACACAATGTTTAATGTTATGAAATGGCAGATAAGATAAAGGTGTTTCATACTGTATACATAATATGTATACAGTAATAATAATATACATAAAGGTATGAAACACCTTTACTTCAGAAATCTTTTCACTTTCAAAAGCATGAATGAAAAAATCTTAAATGTTCCACTTTGGAAACCATTTCTGAGGCACAGAGATTGACTAACAATAACATTCACTTGCACATCTGCCAAATTAATTTTAAATTAAAAGCCTAAATTAATAAAACAATAGAAGAATATTTTAACATAAGGCTTGGGGTTAAAAAAGCACTGTACGCTGGCCAAAAAAAAAAACAGCCAGAGTATAAAAGTCTTAAGAAAACTACTTTCGACTTCAAACATTTTAGCACTTTGACTGCTCACAAATATTGTTCAAATTGACCCCAATCACAAATGCAGTTGGTGATTGTACAAAGAATGCTTTGTGTTCATGTTTAAAGTGCAGTGTGTTTGTCAGGAGAACCTCGCCCGACTGCAGAGAGCCTTTGCCAGAAAGTGGGAGTTTATCTACATGCAGGCGGAGGCCCAGGTCAAGTAAGTGCTGCTCCACTTAGAGAAGAGGACTGACACAGGGAGAGAGGGAACTGATACAGGAGGGAGAGAGGACTGATAAATACACAGTCCGCTCCAGGACACCCATTTATTTTCACTTTGGAGATTTCAGGCACATTTAACCCTTGGAAAGCTGCGTAAAGCTTCTAAAAGGGGTCCACTGCATAAGCAACAATATTGGGATGGATCAAGCAGAGAATGTTCAATTGAAAATAAATGCAATACGGACATCTCCATTCTCACACATCATCACACTGAGACTGAGTTGGTTTCATTACAGTAAATATTAGAATACAATACAATTACAATTTATTCTTGTATAGCCCTACATCACAACAGTAGTCATCTCAGAGGACTTAACAAAACCACTGAATTCACCTACACAGAGAATCAACAGTTAAGACACAAATAATATTAATATAGAACACATGTTGATAAATGTCCATACATGTTGTAGTATGTTAAAGTGTCCTGGATCATCACCACAGTCCTTTTTATTAAACGCCAACTGCCCGACAGACCCTCCTGCATTGGCAAGAAAAAAATAAAAATAAAAACCCAATGGGAAAAGAGTGAAAAACCTCGGGGAGACCCACATTGAGAGAGAGATCCGCTCCACACGGACGGACGGGCTATAGATCCAGGACCTAATCTACAGAACGTGGACCAAGCTAATTCCACAGTAAAGGAGCTTGGTAGCTAAATGCTCTGCCACAGACGGTGCTTTTTGAGACGTTAGGAACCACCAGACTGTTTGGTTGATATGACACTAACATGTCTTGAAGATAAGGAGCCAAGCCATTTATGGCTTTGTATGTTAAAAAACATTTTAAACTTTATTCTGTGCTCCACGGTAAGCCAGTGGAGTGATTATATCACCAGAGTTATGTGTTGGTGCCTGTTAAGAATACAGCAGCAAGGATCTTAACGAGCTGGAAGCTCTTCAAAGAGGTGCTAACCGAGGGTTTGTAGTATGTTTTTAAATAAAAATAAAACACAAAACTATAAAGACACAGATAAGGGGATTAAGGGAGGACAAAGGGTTCCATTTAAGAACGTTTTATTCATCATTTTAGCTTATTTTCTACTTCGAGTAGTTTTCACTCGTTATGCAAATCCGTTGTACAGCATTCAACACTTATATTCTTTGAGTATAACAACAGGAAATAGCGTCTACAGACAAAGTCTACAGACAGCTTCAAATAAAACAGCGGTAAAAGACATCGGTGGTTGTGCTGTGCGCCCGGCTCTCAGGCTGTTCCTAAAACAAAATAATTACATTTTAAAATACATATACAGTGGGGAGAACAAGTATTTGATACACTGCTGATTTTTCAGGTTTATCCACTTGCAAAGCATGTAGAAGTCTGTAATTTCTATCATAGATACTCTTCAACTGTGAGTGATGGAATATAAAACAAAAATCCAGAAAATCACAGTAGATGATTTGTAAATAATTAATTTGTATTTTATTGCATGAAATAAGTATTTGATCATCTACCAACCAGTAAGAAGTTTGGCTCTCACAGACCTGCTACTTCTTCTTTAAGAAGCCCCCCTGCAAGGTGCCCTTGCTCAAGCCAAAGCATGTCCAGGCCCGTCTGAAATTTGCAAATGAACATCTGGAATGATCCAGAGGAGGAATGGGAGAAGGTCATGTGGTCTGATGAGACAAAAATAGAACTTTTTGGTTTAAACACCACTCGTCGTGTTTGGAGGAAGAAGAAAGACGAGTACAACCCCAAGAACACCATCCCAACCGTGAAGGGCTAGACACACGGGAGGCGACAAATGAGAGCGATCAGCGAAACTCAACGCTGTCGCTCAGATAACATGACAGACGGGGCGCGATGCGGCTTGACGACAGCGTCGAAAAGTTGAGCCGATTTCAACTTTCTGGGATCGCGTCGCTGACCTGCGCGTGCACGATACATGCACGAGCGGGAGGATTTCACACGCACGTTTTTCGCCCGTCGCTGAGCAGGAGGCTCGCTGGCGATTGACGCTATGTCGCGCACGTCCCATTGAAAATGAATGGAGGCGATGCGATGTCGCCTCCCGTGTGTCGAGCCCATGAAGCATGGCGGTGGAAACATCATTCTTTGGGGATGCTTTTCTGCAAAGGGGACAGGGCGACTGCACCGTGTTGAGGGAAGGATGGATGGGGCCATGTATCGTGAGATCTTGGCCAACAACCTCCTCCCCTCAGTAAGAGCACTGAAGATGGGTCTTGGCTGGGTCTTCCAGCATGACAACGACCCAAAACACACAGCCAGGGAAACCAAGGAGTGGCTCCGTAAAAAACATCTCAAGGTCCTGGAGTGGCCTAGCCAGTCTCCAGACCTGAATCCAATTGAAAATCTTTGGAGGGAGCTTAAAGTCCGTGTGGCCCAGCGACAGCCTCGAAACCTGAAGACTCTAGAGGAGATCTGTTTGGAGGAGTGGGCCAAAATCCCTACTGCAGTGTGTGCAAACCCGGTCAAGAACTACAGGAAACGTCTGATCTCTGTAATTGCAAACAAAGGTTTCAGCACCAAATATTAAGTTGTATTTCTACACAAATACATATTTCATGCAATAAAATGGAAATTAATTATTCAAAAATCATCTATTGTGATTTTCTGGATTTTTGTTTTATATTCCATCACTCACAGTTGAAGAGTACCTATGATAGAAATTACAGACTTCTACATGCTTTGCAAGTGGGAAAATCTGAAAAATCAGCAGTGTATCAAATACTTGTTCTCCTCACTGTATACACAGCTAAATAGCGAGTAGGGCCAGTGCAAAAGACATACCAACTAGGTAGGACACGTTCACTAGGAGTTCTCACTGGGGAAGGAATGACTCCCAGCTTCAGAGGACCACCGGGGACCACACACCCGGTCTACAATGAAGCGCCACCAGCTGCGCGTTGAAAGCGCCTCCAGAGCCATCAGCTACCTGAGCAACATGCCTGATGAGGACCAACCTACACAACTATAATATCTACATTTTTAAATTACTATACCTGCTACGCGGTGACACACAAACACGCACACCAGCCGAGCGACCAGCACCCGGAAGTACAGACGGCAAGCGGGACAACGTCAATAATCTGCTGGGCTTTATAGTGTGCCGTCTGGCGCCCCCAGCTGGTGGGCAGATAAACTGTCCACACTACTACACGTGGATCAGTTGTATGGAGACATAGACATTTACAAAATTATATAGCACGATCGGAATTTAATAGTTGACTGCAACAACATTGTTTATCTAATTATTGTAGTTGTTATTGTGGCATAAGGGGTGGTTTGGTTCGGTTCTTGCTCTATCCATTGTACCAAAGGGGTGACGGGTCACATTTGTAGTGGCCTCAAACTTTCAGTTTTAGGGTTCAGGTCCGGAGGTGTATTGAGCTGCTACATCCACGGGGAAGGAACTGTGGAGGAACTACTGCCATGTTGGTTTCATTTTTGGGCGGCCTAAAGTAATGGCAGTAACCAGCTTCATTGCCAAATGTGCCGCCATTATTTCTTGTGGAGGAGATAAAAAGGTTTTGGTTCATTTGGAATCTCCACTCAAGTGAAAATTATGTGTTTTCGGGTGATGTTTTCTAAAAGCTTCAAATCTGAGACGTTGCTCACTGGCTGGCTGATAGTCTGAACACGGGGCAAATGTTCACAAATAGCTTTTTGAGGCAGAGAAGAATAATGTAGGGGGTTTATACCATACAGTAAAATAGAATAACGTCAAGTTTGCGTTCACAGATGTGTGAGTGATTCTAACAGGGAATTTACACAGTAGGCGTTAACAGCGCGTACGCGTTGACTGCGCGCATGTGCGAGTAACATTACTTGGGTGTACCTACACTGGCCGTCCCTGTGTAGCCTATATGAAAAAATATGCAGATTTATAGCCTATGGCTTTTTAGTAAAAAATCACGGCATCATAAGTAACACGGAAAGAACACTGAAGAATGGAGAGTTTATTATATGGTTGGGGACACTATCGACAGACTCCGGTTAGAGGTTCTTTGATCAGCTTTATTGCAGGTTTGGCAGGAGATCAGTTTGTATGTTGTATTGTTGAGTATGCAATTGTGTGTGGCTAAGGAAACAAATAGACAAAGGAAAACGGTATTAATAATTATTCTATAGCGAATAACACATTAAACAATCAATAGCTTATGTGTCTGGGCAAGTATGAACTAAAATAAGTCATAAAATGAATTAAAATCCAACATGGGTCCCCTTTAAGGTCTACATAAAGTTGACAAAGTAGGTAAATGAGTGATGGAAACCACAGACAGAGGTAGCCCAAACTCTTCTAAAAGATCACAAGAACTACAGGAACCTACTTCTTTGGTCATAAAAATGCACAATCAATGTATTTTCTCCATTTTGTGGTTTCCCTCCGCAAGCAGCGTCAATATGGCCCCATGCGGTCTGTGTTGTGAACCCACATCGTTCATGTGGTGAGGCGTTCAGGTACAGACGTAAAGGTGTCAATATTTACTGAAATGTACAAATACAGCAATGATTGGCTTTTTAGGCACTCATTTGACGAATGGGCATCTTGCCTGCTCTAATTATAATATGTATTGGAGATATGTAAAAAAAAATAAAAAATAAAGGGATTTTTTTTGTGTGTCATAAGACGTCAATTGACTTCAACATTGTTTTTCAGTCTCTTCCTCTCCGTCTGTGTCCCCTGTATCATATATGTCTGGGGTTTGGCTGTAGACAGTATTTTATTAAGCCAGCAGGTGACAGCAGAACTCTGTGGGTGTCTTGGTCAAAGATTGATTGCTGTCTGAGCACTCTGAGCAGGAGAGACAGATGTGTGGCAGGCATGGAGTAATATAGTCAGGGTCAGGCTACATTTGGAGGCAGTTTGAGCAGTAAATGTGTCTCTAGAGCTGACCAACCATGTGGAGGGTCAGAACAGCAGACCAGCAGTGCACCCCAAAAAAGCCACATAAAAGTGGACTATAGCTAAAA